TAGTAAAGGACTTATTTCAGAGATCAGAAAGAAAATGTCTGAGCGAAGTGTAGAACTTATGAGCAAGAGTGAATCTCTATCGGTATGAAAAAAAAGTTTAAGAAAGAGTTTTGAGTTTAATAATATTTCAGGGAAATGTACTTAAACAATCAAAATCCTCCAAAGTTAGATTACAGGTTGCACCAGCATCTCAGTAATAACTGGTTATTTTTTCAATATACATGGTTGCTTTTGCGTTTACAAAATTGTAATCTTTGTGTTCTAAATAAATGTACCGTGCTATCAAAAAGACTTTTTGTAAACCGAGCGTAGAAATTTAGAATTTGTTAAAAAAAGTAATTTCCTAATTTTGTCTGTTGTTAAGCTTTTTTAAAAAATGAATAAAAAACGTCAAAACACCACTCCAAAAAACTATTTAAGTAATTTTTTATTGTATCGTCAATCTCGAACTAAACAAAGTGAAAATAATTACCATGCTGGAGAGAGGATTTTTTGAAGTTGAGGTTGCTAATCAGTTGGGGCTCGTAAGATGTTCCATCAATTTCAAGACCGCTATTTGACATACACACGTTCGTTTCACAAGAGAGCATGTTAGGCAGTGACATTGACTATCAAGATTTAACACTCGCCATTGTACATTGTATGTATGTACCTCGGCTATTGCTGTCCGGAGTGCTTTGTGTCTTGGTCATCAAATTTCACCTTGGTAAGAACCACTTTCCGTCTTGATATGTAACCTTATCCATGGAGACAATAAAACAACTCAATCGTGTCAAACAATTACAAGTCATAAAAATGCTAAAAAAAGTCACGCTGATATTTCTATTTTTTAGCCTTTATCGGCTAGGTTTTTGCCAAGCAGATGATAAAAATATGTCTCTCGAGCAAAAAATTCAGTATGAATTAGATAGACCACTTAAGTACATTTTTTTGTTTGGTATCATCTTCTCTGTGTCTATAATTCGCTTCCTTGTGAAAGTAAGTATTAAAAATGTTTAGTTCTTATTAAAATGCAACTTCAGATTGGTGGAATTCCCATTCCTTATTACCTCTTTAGCATCCTTATTGGCATTTTATGGGGAATTGGTTCATTGCACAGCGACTTTATGCAAAGAATATCGGGTGTTGCCCAAGTACCGATCAATCACATCGAAGAGGTTTATTTGCCGGCTATTATCTTCACTACTGCTTTTTGTATTGATGTTCATGCATTTTGGAGATCTTTGATGCAACTATTCATAATATCTGGACCAGGTTTAAAATGTCTTATAAATAATTTGTTCTCAGTTCGGTAGTAATTTTGATTGTAGGTTTGCTTCTTAGCGCTTTTATGTGTGGCATGTTGATGCGATTAGTGATCGATACTAAATGGGGATACATAGATGGACTGATTTTTGGCGGTCTGAACTGTGCAGTGTATCCTTTATACATTCTCACATATTTAAAGGAATCAAACATCCAGAGCCATCATGTGACAGTTTTACTTCAAGGAGAAACTCTCTTTTCATCAATAATCACTGTTACGTTATATGATTTTTTAACGGCTAATCGTGAAGGATGGGTGATACACTGGTACCAATTCATATGTTCACTCATAAGAATGTTGTTTTTTGGTATTTGTAGTCAACATAAAACTTAAAAAGTTATTTTTTTCTTTTAGCGATTCCAATGGGTTACTTATTTGGATGGCTAGGTGTTATTTTGATGAAATTTTCTAACAATAAATCTGTCAAACTTATGCTACTTACATTGTCAATAGCATACTCAAGTTTCTACTTCACGCGATGGATTTGTTTTGGTGGAACTATCGCAACCACGATAGTAGGAATTCTCATGAGTAAAGAACGAATGTCTCTTTCAAAAGAAATAAACGA